TCACCGCCCTCGGTCCCCGATCAGAAGGTTTCCCGACTCTGTGAGCCCGCTCCATCTCAGTTTCTTGATGAATTTGTAGTTTATCCTTTAGTATTTCCTTCACCTTACATTCCGCTTCCGTCCAGCTTTCTCCAGCTGACTCCTTGATTCCCTCGAAGATCAGGTTTTTTCGCTTGGACTGTGCTTCCAAATGCTCCATTTTATCCGTTATGGCTATTAGACTCTCACCAGTTTTGTAGACATCCTCCCTTGTTTCCTTGGTTTGTATTTTCTGTTCACCCATGGCTGCTTTAATCACATCCACATCTCGCTGGGTAAACTGCAAACTCGTTTTTATCTCCTGTATTTCTCTGGTCATGTCGTCGAGTCTCTTGTTATTTGTCTCCATAAGTAGTTGCACAAAACCTTTGAAGTTGTCTTGTTGTTGGCTCAACAGTGCGGTGTACATCTGCTTCTGCTGACTCAACATCTCTGTTACTTGCGCCGCTGAAATATAATCCTCTTCTGCTTCAACATCCTCATTCGCTTCTGATTTATTAGCTCTTTTCCCTCTTGGAGGCATTTTAATAGTTGTAGAATTTGTTCAAAGACTTGAAAATGTAGAAGATGTGAAAAATCGTAGAACAGACAAGAGGAGCAGTAAAGACGTCTGCTCTCGCTTGCAACCCGGAAACATGGACTACAGAAAGTCTTCCAACTAGCTGAATCTTCTTTCACTTCAGTGAGCTCCAGATAAAATCATCTCCTATTCATACACAGCAGTCATTATTCAGAACCAGCGTTTCATTAATATGAGGAATGTGAGAAATCTTCCACCAGCTCTTGGTGGCCTCCGGTAGCTGCTCCACGTCTTTCCTCTGATCCACAGTCTTTACAATTTGCTTGAAATTGTATTTATTCTTATGGATTTATTTGCAGAGTGAAATAGATCTTTATTTGAAACAGGATCACATTAGTGACAGACTTTTCATTTCTAATTGTAGTAAGTACACAGAGCCTCTGTTTTCTGATCTGCTCCTGTTCAACATGTGGAAATCCTGTCACACTCACCGGCCTGATTATCATTAATTCCAGTTGTCTCAACTTCGCAGAATTGTTTAGTTGCTGTTAAGCTACAATCAGCTTTCTGTAACTTAATGAAAGCAGTGATCCAACCATCACTTCCACTTCAGAATGGGTGTGACCCAGTCTAACTGCTCACTTTGTCACACACCTATTTGTGGCACTTTTTATGTAAACAACTGGGTGTGACATTATGGAATCTTCCAGGAGACTCGAGGCCTCAGTCAGCATAAAGTTTACCCTCTATAACACTCGTGAGAAAGAATTGGCAGCTGCTATTGTAAATGAATGAAGAACAAGTCGCTGGTAACGTAATTATCTGGATCCATCGGCGGCTGCATAGTAGTGATGAATTTCTCTGAATAATCACTAGTTTGCAGTGTTTGCACGTCACCGTTTGGTATCATCTTAGCTCACCTGGAACCTCAACAGGGGCAATACCAAAATTAGTACCAGATACTATCTCCAACTTTTGACTGATAGAAAAACAAATGAGGCAAGCGGAGTCGAGTCGAGCCGGTAGGGGCTTTAGGTAACTGGGCTATAGTCAGCAGCAGCTCCACTGACAAACCCTGTGAACCTCACAGTTACTTGGTACTTTTTATGGTCGTCAAATTGATGAAGCCTTCCAAATTTGGCTACAGAAGTCAGTTTCCTCTATACTACCTGTACACTACCAACATTAGCAAAACATGATCTTTATATTATGAGTTTCCTGCTTTGGGGCTGGGATCAGTGCTGGCGTTCTAGGGCTACTTTGAGCGCTCTCACCTTCTTCAGCAGGTCATCCAGAAGGCCCATATTGGCCTCCTGAGCCTTGATAGTGTGGGAGAAAAAAGCATAGGTCTTCCTGGGAATGAGCTTCTCCTCAGGCGGACTCTTCACTCCGATTATTAGCGCCGCCTCCGAAATGTCCTCCTGAATGATGGCGCCGGCCTTCATGTAGTACTGCAACCAAAACACATAGTGAATTAGATGTCTGTTATGGTATTATGGCTTTTTTTATTACATTTTCATTTGTGTGACTATTTCTAGTAGCAATTAAGAAGAAAAGTTAGATGAGACTATTCTTCTCCAGGGAGAATTCACATTGCAGCAGGAGGTAGGGAAAATGTACAATATGCTTCACAAGATACAAGCCGTGGTGGAAAATAGTCAAGTAGATTTACTAAGGTCTGTACTTATGTACACATCTGAGGTATTTGTATTGTACTTGAGTATAACAATTTCCTGTTACTTCATTCTTGGACTTCACTATATGTCTGAGACATACATAAGTATATAAGGTAGTTACCATCGGCTCCACCATTAAAGTGATGAGCACAGTAATACATTAGTCACTATGATCCAGTAGTATCAGAGACAATACTGTGACACAGGCCATTCTGCAGGACGAGTACTGGTACTGATGGTACTTCAAGTACATTTGGATTGTCTTATATTGTTTATGCATACAATACTGTACTGTAATATGGAAATATATTGATAGTGACAGCAATATAGTTTTGCTGTATAAACACTTACAGTACTTTCATAGTAAAGGTAAAAACAGTGTCCAGAAACAAAACAGACAAGGCCCTCGTGTCTGCACCTTCTCGTGAATGGCTCTGCGGTTGGACGGCTGCACCAGGACTTTGACGCCGGCATTGGTGAGCTCCTTGACATGACGTGGGGCCAGCGGTGCCCTCCTTTCCCAGGGGCTGACATCCTCACGGCGAATGGCCATCACGGACATGTGGTGCTCATAGCGCCACTGGTCTGCAAGGCAGCTCCACGTCCTTGTCTTGCGGTGACAGAGGAGTCTGAACATGGCTGCACCAACCTGCTCAGGATACAAACATGTAGCTTACCAAGAGCAATGAGACGACATTCAGCCAGGAGGTGGCATAAACTGCTGTGAGTAGAGATGCACCGATCGATTGACAGGGATCAGAAATGACCAGTTTGGCCTGATCAGCCTTGACTGATGACAGGCAATCATCGCACACGCAGCGGCACAGACCAAAAGCATAGCATGTGCAGCAAATTTTCCCATTACCTGTTGCACCTGTTTATATTTGGAGAAATACAAATCCTGCACTTCATTTTTAGTTAGAGGTTTGTTTAAAAAAAAAAAAAAAGTCAGAAAGATGGAAATGTAAAACTTTAATCCAATTTTTTAACTTTTATTTATTCAGGGCAGGTCCAATCAGAGGCTGTCCTTTTGCAGGGACACCCTGCTCACATTCACACCTGGAAGCAGCCCAGTACAACCACAGACTGAGCTGTGGCCACATGAGCCGCTCCACTGGAGCAGCTGGGGTAAAGAGCCTTGTAACCGTGGTGTTACTGAGGGTCAGGCAAGTGCTGCTTTGTCACCTGTCCTACACAGGTTTAATCCTGCCATGACCGTCTGGTCACAGGCTCACTTCTCCAGCCTTCAAGCCACCACTGCCCAGTTTAGTTTTTCATAAAAGACAAGCTACAAAAATGGCTGTGTATGCTGTCAATTACAGTTCTTAGAAAGAAAACTGGAAACGGCCAATAAAACTGCAATCGGTGCATCTCTAGCTGCGAGGACACTCAGACCATGTATTGCTGTACATTTGACTCTAACAGAAATAACAGGAGACGACTGGGCTGCAACTAATGATTATTTTCAGTACTGATTAACTTGATTGTCTTCTCAATTAGTCAATTAAAAAACACACAATTTCCAAGCTTCCATCTTCAAATGTTTTGTCCAAGCAACAATCCAAAACAAAGATATTCAATCACATGTCAAAAAAAGCATCAAATTCTCACATTGAAGAAGCTGAAACCAGAAAAACTTGAAACATTTTTGCTTAAAAATGTAATAATGATTATTCAATTATCAAAATAGATTAAATTTCTGTCAAGCAACAAAACAATTAATTAACTAATCATTGCAGCTCCAAACTGCACAGCTGTGCAGTCTGGGGCATGTATAATCAAGGGGTCAGAGGTCAAGTTTGCTGCTTGGAGAGAGCTACTGGAAAGCAGGTGGTTTTGACACATCTGAGAAACTGCAGTAACACTATGACACCGCTCACTACGCAGACAACATAAAGTGCTTGAACTAAATGAATGTTACTGACGAGCACAACACTATAATCAACACTGCACTTGTTTAAGCTGAGTGATACATCAGCACATCAGTTATTCAAATTCACAGAAAAGTGCAACTGCAGTTTGTAGCTTATTGTTATGAATATATCTGGGAACTGTTTTCTTTAACTAGGCTAACGTTAACTTAAGTGACCATTCAGTGCATGGGATAGCAGAAACTAGCCTAACGTTAACGTACATCCAGTCGCTGCTTTTGCTACAGAATGTGGGACCGACCTGAAGCCCAGGATTTATGAAACTCGACAAGTAAACCAAGAGCATCAATCATTTTGAAGTGTACGCTGCAGTTTACAGGAACCGAATTGAAATCTGTATAAAATGTAAATTGAGTTCTGTTTATTTTAGCTCGCAGCTAGCTGATGTGGCTTCCACTGTAACATTAACCACACGGCTAATTCCGGAAACTTCCACACGTTAGCTAATTAAGTTACTGACCCCAGGAAGGAAGAGTAGCTGCTACCTTGCTACCACTGATCAATAACCGGCGGCTCGTGATGCAGTTCGGTCGGGTCGAACCCAATTTTCTGACCGGTTTTGGTCCGCCACACCGACTCCTGGCAAGGAAACGCGTCGGCTCTCGAAAGAGAGTAACGAAGAGGTGAAAGCAGGTTCAACTTCCCATGGCGCCTGGTGGGGGTCCACACACCCACCGACTCCACTAATCCACTTCCGGTCACATTTCAAAATAAAAGTCCGCGTGAAAGATTTCTGGAGGCAGTAGTGAAAGGAGAAGGGCGGCTTGGTGGCTAGCACAGTGAGAAGAGTTCGAGCCCAGGCCGACCCGGGGCCTTTCTGTGTGGAGTTTCCATGTTCTCCCTGTGCGGGTTCTCTCCGGGTACTCCGGCTTCCTCCCACAGTCCAAAGACAGCTTAGGTTGACTGGTGACTCTAAATTATCCCTAGGAGTGAGCGTTGGTGTGTGATTGTCTGTAGACTGGCGACCTGTCTATTCCCCCCGCGACCCTCATCAGGAAAAGCGGTATAGATAATGGATGGATTGTGTTATATTTTGAATGCAAAGCCGCCTTACTTCCGGTTTTAGACTACCCTGCTATGTGTGCCGGCTATTTTTCCAGGGAGGTAACAGGTGGTATTTAGATATATAAAAGACAGGGTGGGTTTATTTTTGTTCGCAGCCCACACCGTTTGTGCTTCAATGCTGTATAATTTGTACAGTGCAAAAGCGCATGTTAAGAACGAGATTTCACAAGTGCCCACATTTAGATGTGTGGGTGGAACTAAATGAATGTAACCGCCATTAGATCCGCACACAGGTGGGAAAACGAGCGCCCACCTGGAGCTAAGGAATCCGTGTCTGCGGCTGTTCACGGCGGTGCAGAGCGTGTATAAACTGTACGGAGGTCTCTCCACCAATCAGCTTCCAGCGCTGAAGAGCCTCCTCCTGCTCCAGGAGACGCTACGACGAGCAAGGCTTTGTAACACTGTGATGAGTGAAAGGAGCCGGGGAACTCTTTAAAATGTCATCGAAACAAAGAGTGTATGCACAATAATTATAACAAACACCGCACAGCTAAACTTGTTTTTTCTTAATTTATTTTGACTGCACTGGTACACAGCTGGGGGGTTCGGATGCCAGATGTTCACGTGTCCCTCTCGGGCGGCTCAGGGTCAGATGGAGGAGCTGAAAAGTAATAAAAAATCCATTGCTACCATTGACTGCATAATAAAACTGGACAAACCCACCGTGACCATGACTGCAGTACGTTTATAAAATAGATATTTTTAATTTCACTGTGGCTACTCGGAAAAGAGCATCAGTGTCTGGACAAATATCAGTGTTTAATTCAATATTTACGTCTTATTTTACACTGTAAAATAACTTGTGTGTTTTTAAGAAGAATATTCAGATGCAGGTCTGCAGCATATGAACATGTTTTTGTACTTTGGTTAACATACAGGCAACATATTGTATTTGATACGTATGAATACTTTAAGCACACATTTAATTTTATTCCTTTTTTTCCCCCTAGTTAAACATCTGCATCAGGAGGCCTGAACCTTTTCACCGTGACAAGGAACAGGTAGTCATCTTCAGTTCAGCTTTGTTATAACAGTGGTACAATTTAAATAGATATAATAAAACTTTTTACAATTATCCTGAGACGGGGGAAAGCTTCAGCTCATCTTCCTCCGTCAGTCTGGACCAGAGATGAAGAGGTGAAGCAGTGCTGTTAGGGCCAGTGCTGAATTTTACATGAAACAGATTAAATGGGTCACTCAAGTTTAATTTGAGTGCATTCACATCCAAATGATATGCACTGCATGGTCATGGTCGGATTATCTTTCTATGGAGGCCTGGGACAAAATCCTGTTGTTGGGCCCCCATCGAACCCCCACTACATGCTTCGTTCCCCATACACCTGGGAGCCAATAGTCTCTTAACTTGATTAATCAATTGACAAAAAAATTTATGAGCAAAATTTTGATTAATCATTTGAGTTTTTTAAGTAAAAATGCCAAAACATCACTGGTACCAGCTTCTACAAGCTGAATATTTGCTGGATTTCCCAGTTTTTGACAACATCTTAGATGTTTTCTGCTATATCGTGCATTGAACAATCAATCAATCATTAAAGAAAACAATTTTCAGATATATTGATAATATGACCTTACAACTGGTTGCAGTCTTACACTTCCTACTGCCGAGCCTCCCAAATATGAATATTTAGTTTCACTTTTCTCAACAACTGTGCCGTCTACTTTTAACTCATTAATAGGCTTTCATGTGTCATTTTTTAAATCAAACACTCAGTTACTAAAGAAAATAACTGTCGGATGTACAGTTATACAAGGTTTTCTGTCCGTTTCTGGTCAGTTTGTACAGCTTTAAAAACATAAGCTCAACAGTTTATGTCTTGGACACAATAAGATCAGGGCCACAGGATGAAGGGCCACATCTTCTTTGGCAAATGTTTTATTAATCTAGTTATGTCAATATAAACGATGTGAAGTAAAACTGGGATTCTGGGGCCACTGGACAGCTGCCTATCTGCCCAGTTAGATCACAGTAGAAGCAGGAAATGGGTCTGTAAACTGTGACAGTGTTTACAGTGCACAGTTCGGGGAATTAATTGAAATCATTTGTTTCAGACATGTCTGAGTGCTCGAGTTTGCGACTGCTCAGATATTAACCCAGTGAACACAGTGTTAATATTACTCACAGAAATTAAAAAAATTATAAAGATAAGACTCAAGTTGTGATAAAGGTTACAAACCCTACACTCGGTGGTGGAAAAAGCAGCAATAACACACTAAAAATAGTCCAGTAAGAAAGAGTACTGCATTCAAAACATTAAGTAAAAGGAGGCAAGTACAAGCAGCAAAATATACTTAATGTATCAAAAGTAATAGCATTAAATACAAACAAAATGACTGTCAGTGTTGTATACTATTATTGTTATGTACTGTATATGCTGTTGGGCAGTTCAGTGTAGAAATGGATCATATTTTATAAAGTCATAAGTTCCATAAAATCTTAACTTGCAGTTTCTTAATACAACTTCAGCTGTCAGATAAATGTAGTAGAGTAAACTGGCTTCAAATGAAAATTGTCAAGTAAAGTACAAGTATTTGAGTAAATGTACGTACTTTCCACCACTGCCAAGCTGTAAACATGCCCAGACACTCCTTAGACAGTGCAGACACACACACACACACACACACAGTAAAAACTCCTCTTATATTTGGGTCATGAAGGATTCAATTTGATTTTAGCTCTCGTCACAAATGCTGTTCGTGATAAGTCGGATGATATTTCATATTTTTGTTATTGTCAAGAAATCTCATGGAAAGAAAAAAGTCAACAATGCGTTGGTCTCAATACTTTGACTTGTCAGATCCAAACCCACTGGCTCCTACTGAAGATGGAAATTCGAAAGGAAACGCACCTCACAAATATATAATTTAATTAAAAAAAAAATCCTAGATCACCTGCTCGCTCAGTTTGTTCCTATCAAACAAACCGGAGGAAACATGCATGTTTTGGGGACTATTTTCAGTGGCGGATGAATCCACATTTATGTGTGGCAGCAGGACGGTGTGTGTGGGGCCGAGTGTGTGTTCATGGTGATGAGGGAACATGTCAGCAGGTGCAGCAGGGGGTCACTGCTGGGCCGAATGGACATGGAGGCCCTGTGGCTCAGGGGGTGGAGACACCAGGCTGTTTGACACATACAGGACTTCGTAGTTTTTATTGTTGACTTATCTGTTAAATTACTGGTATAAATCCTGTTTTTGACCATCAAATCCGATCCAACATGAGCCGATGTGATGTTTCACTTCTGCTACATCTCTGGTCCATCAGTCTCACATCCTGAGATTCTACTGAAAAATCATCAGAACTAGTAATTACCGATGGCTAATGATACAACAATTAGCCACCACTGTAATGTAAGAACTGACCAATTATCAGAGAGCAGGAGTTTGTCCTCCGTCTAAAATGAGCTGAGACAAACAATCATCACGGCTGCTGCCAGGGGGTCAGAGGTCAGGGCTGAGGCGCTGTTGTAGGGCCAGAGGGGTTAGATAGTATCCTGGTGGCTTTCTTTGCAAGTTCAGGGGGAAAGGTCAGGTTAGGGGTCAACGGACTTGAGAGGCGAGCAGAGTCGTTGAGGAAGGGGCTTCACATTCAGAGTGGAGCACTGGGGAACTTTGCACAAATGTTTGTTATTAGCAGGAATTTGTGTTTACAAAACAACATTCTGAGCTTCTCACATTTAAGTGACCAAAAAAGACCAAAAAACTCATCAGACCTCTTTTACTTTAACTAAACTAACCTAGAACATAAGCAAATGGGTTCGACTTTAATTGTAATATGATAAAACACTGTTTAATTTCATAGCTTTAATGGGAACATGTCCTCTTTAAACAGGACCACTGACGTCACCAGTCCACATGTTGTTTCTGCTGTGAGGATTGTCAACTGTCTCCTGGGATTAGACAAAGTCACACTCTGTACAAGGTTCGACACAGGTGCTTGTCACCTGTGTCAGTAAGGAAACCCCAGTGGTGACGATTTAAAAGGGAACTCCATCAATTTACACATGAAAATGAGCATGCTAGTCTCCAGTGGCTCTGCAGGAGGCTCTAATGAGTAGCCTGGAGTCCACTGCATCATGAGAAATGTAGGATCAGATGTTTTTAGCATTTCTCTCTCTTGCAACTCTCCCAGTTTTATGGAAGTGCAAGACTAAAATCTGTGGAGTGCTCCTTTAAAACAACATTTAGACTAATGTACAAACAGATGTGTTTCAGGTGCAGCATTTTTGACAAATTTCTCCCTTTTTTCACTCAGTGTACTTGTTTACAGAAGCTCCTGCAATCCCACAGTTTGAACCTTCAAATTGTTTCATTCTAAAAGGTCTTTTTCTTGAAAGTCAGGCATGAATATGGATTTAACTTTGGCCTTGATCTGACCGAACACTGTGGCTATGCTTCAGCCTTTGTCTGTTAAACACAATGTTTTAGCTTTGACTTCTCTTCAGGGACTTTCCTGTGGTCTGACACCACACTCTTTGAAATACACATTTTCCCAGTGCAAACCAGAAAATCTGTGTCAATTCTCTGATTTTATTTTTTACTCATTCTATTTGTTCATATGTATATTTTACCAGGTTCATCCTCGTGGTCGACACGCTACCAGGGCTGGAGGAGAAACACTACTTCATGATTACATTCTAATTTGATCTAGTTTCTTTTTTATACAGTCACATTTAAAGACATTTAGCCTTCAAAACTCAACCCGTGTATTTTCAAGTATTTGCTCAGATGGTTAAAAACACTCAGACTTAACACAGCCAGCGTTTTGCTCTCAATTTTTGGATCATATTTGCACCTGCTTCATAAAACTTGACTTCAGTTTTTTAAAAACTGTACAGAGCTGCAATAAGTCATGTGAGAACAAGATTTAGTGATTTTAGAGTCGTAATTATTGATTTAAAGAACATAAATAAGCAATTCAGTGGTACACAGGAGGGAAGAAAGCACCATGAAACACACAGATTGGTATTTCTGAGAAAATGATTTGTAATTGGAGCATGTTTGGCTTCATGATTTGTAGATATTTAGGTCATTTAACGATAAATCTACAAAAAAACCTATCAGAATCATTCTTCAAAATTCGTGTGTATAGTTAGATTGGAAAATTCCTCTGGTTGTAAAAATTCTCAGACAACACAAAGGACATAAACTGTCTTGGTTTTGCAGAATTCAGTTCATAAAAACACAGCTTTAACTTTGCAGACATGCAAGAAGGAAGCAGAGGCCAAAGAAAGTTAGCGATAAAAGAACTCAAGAAAAATACTGATGTAAATTTAAGGGTAAGAATAACTAATGTGAGGGAATGAAGGCACCATATTGAGTACACAAATTAGCACTTAGACAAAATTATTCATAATTTAATGAGATTTTGTGTCAAAAAAATAAAAGTAAGAAGGATCAGAAAGATTTTGGATTATTTCATAGCTGTGCACAAAAACATAAGGGGTCAAGTCATCGGAGGACGGGTTAGTGATTCAAGGAAACTAATTTAGGGGCCAGATGATGACAAACTGGTTGTTTTTGTGGTTGAGTTTGTGGCTGCAGAAGAGCAAGAGATAGGGACCACATGAAGTCAGCGATGTTAAGACACCGATTAATAATTCAAAGTGACAAACTGAGTCACTGCAGGGAGCAAGTCACTGGTGTGAGGGAGCAAAGCAGACAGATTATTAATATGAGGTCAGGAGTTACTGCTTATGGAAAGTCTCCTCGCTGGCACCGACAGACCATCGTGAGTCTGTCTCAGGACTGGGGTGGAGGTCAGAGGGCAGCGTCTCTCAGGCCTGGGCCGGCGACTGCGGGCCTGCCGGGTCGTGCAGCTTCCTGACGTGTTTCTTCAGGTCAAAGTTCCTGCAGAAGCCCTTGCCACAGGTGGGGCAGGTGAAGGGCTTCTTGTCGTTGTGCGTGTGCATGTGGAAGGTGAGGTTGTACACCTGGTGGAACGCCTTGCTGCAGATCGAACACTTGAATTGCTTCTCCCCGCTGTGCGTCAGCTTGTGGTTCTTGTAGTTTCCTGTCAGCAGGCGAGACGTCAGATCAGGACAACAAATCACAACTATCCTACAGAAAATAATTCATGATAAGCAGCCGGTAGTTTGGTGGTTTCCGACCCTTCTGGCCGCTGCCCCTCATGCATGCTGATAGCTGCAAGCAGGTCAAACAAAACACGATGTCTCCTACATAAACTCTTTAATTTAGATACCTTTATTAAAGGCGTGAAAAATGAAAACTATCTGGTATTTAACAGAATAGACAAAGGAGATCACTAGTAGAATTAGGTTTTCTGAGCATTTCCTGCTAGTGATGCCTCAGGGTGACAGCTGCTCCTTTAAATGAAAACAAAGTTACTGTGAAATCACATGAGAAAAATGGCACTGAAGATAAAATGTTTCCATAATAATTAGAAAAACACATATGATGCAACTTATCTTTACACAATACAAACTTGGCTTTGCCTGTTACTTGATGACACTGTCTGGCCAGCCTTTCTGGGGCTGTATAATTCATTTCTGTTTCTGAGGTTGACGGGTGGAGACACTGGTAGTCTGGCCTGTTTGGATCTCTGCACTTTGAGGGAACGCTGACAGAGGCAGCAGACTGGCATTCAGCCGTATTTTGTGACAGGTTCCCTAACATGTCCACATTATTTTGTCCACCCCCTGTATAAAGTACGCCGACTTCTACTGCAAAAGAATTTGGATGTGAAAATAAGAGAAACGAATCCCTGGGTTTAAGTTATTTTTCTTCAAAAACCAAATCTACAGTCAGTTATTACACAAACACATTAATTGCATAAATACATTTTGTGGTGTCACAGTTTCAGCCACTTTAATGAAATCTGTTCTAATACGACTGCTTTTTCTTCATATCCTCACCTTTTTGATGAAATCCTTTACCGCAAAACTCGCACACGAACGGTTTGTATCCCGCGTGGATGCGCGTGTGCGTGTTGAGGGTGGAGCTGCGGTTGAAGGCTTTCCCGCATTGGTTGCACTTGTGCGGTTTTTCCTGAAAGAGCAAATAATAATAATAATAATTATTATTATTATAAGATCAACACTTGGGGAAATTACACATCTGACAAAAATAGTAAAGAATATTTTCGGACCGTTTGACCAGGAGATAAATGTCCCCGTGACCTTCGTGGACATTAGAGGGGTTTTTCTCAGCACAACTAAAACACATCAGAAGAGTCCGGGTGAAACCACAGGAGCTCATCAGAGAAACGGACTCAGCCTCTTTTGAAAAAAGTTTAAACAGATTTCCAGTAACTGTATTTGTTGTTACATTTATTGACACAAAAAGTGGGGAAGGTTCAAACGCCGGTGAACTCGCACATCCTTGCTACTAGACCCAATAGAGGCATGAAAATTATTTTCCGTTTGCATCGGCTCGAATTTTCACCTTTCATAAATACGTAAGGACATAGTGTAGGTGCTTTGGGCCAAATTGACAGAAACTGGGTTGAATGAGAACAAAGCCAACAATGTTTGTTTTGTTTTTCTTTGTTTACACCCTGGCTCTGACCAGTTGTTTCTCACAAAGCTTCTAACAAACAAACAAAGATCATTTTAAATGATCCAAACACAAACCTTTTGTCCCGCCCACTAACAAGCATGAAGTTTGTGATTGGACATGTGTCATCTGATTGACAGGTCGACACAGCCGCGTCTCACTGTGAACTGTCTGCTCATGTTAAATCAACAGGCTTAAAGTTTCGATTCTCGATCAATACTCAACACGATCATTTCCCGGGGGGGTCACAGGTCTACACCAACAGGAACAAATGAATAAATACACCACCTGTCTTTAGATGTGCGTCTTGTTTGGGTAAAGGAACCGCAATAAACACAGAATAAACTAATTGGTGAATAAAATCACGTTTCATTTCTAGTCTGCAAACAACTATTAACTACCTGAGTGTGGATGATTTTGTGTCGGCACAGTGTGCTCGCCTGCCTGAAGCCTTTCCCGCAGATTTTACACACGAACGGCCGCGCACCGGTGTGCACGGGCATGTGGCGCGTCAGGTTGTAGTGCGCGTTAAACACCTGCAAATAAAACAGAAAAAATACAAATCAATTCGATAATAATTGTAATAATAATAACCATAACAATTATAACTATTCTTATTATACCTGATAATAATCATCCTCCTCCTTAGAAGAACATTAAATTCACATGAATCAAAAACCAATGAGAGTCACTGATGGAGTAGAAAACAAAGACGTATTAGAAACTGCTCATTCATCTTAGGGCTCGTTTTCATTAAAGCCAGAAAACGAAGGAAAACGGGCCCAAGTTAATCTGGCCTGTCAGGGCTCGTCTCATGGACTAAGAGGTTAATGGGCCGTTTATAACACAATAATAAAACGCACCTAAGTCCCTAAAGATCCGGCTCAGAGAAGAAGGTTCACATGATGCTGTCTTTATTTAACAGACTAATTAAGCTGTGGTTGTCCGATTGTGCAGCTGTTTGCAGCTGGTTCACGGAGTTTTTGTGCTCGTCCTCGTCATTAAAACGAAATAAACATGAAGAGAAACACAGACGCAGGTGCGTCGGACGGGAGCGAAGATCGTGGGAATAAAGGAGAAACCCACAGAAATACAATAATTATCCAGACTACCCGATGTTTACGTTGGCCCCCTTATTGTTATTGTTTTTTAATCGTCATAAACCAAAGAAAAATGGACAAATTCACTTGGAGCTAAAACCATCGTATTTTATTCTACCCTAAAATACCACCTTTCTGTTTTGACAAAAAATAAGTTTAGTTTTTTTCATTTTAAAAATAATCCAATGGGTCCGTTTTTGTTTGTAATCGTGTAATATAACCTATGGTTTGTATATTAGAATATTCATAATCCAATATTAATTATTGGAATGATTAAAACGGTAAAATCGGCCCCAGCTCATTGTTCTTTTAATGTGAGGGAATTCAAATCATTATAATCACTACAGTTTAATGAAGCTACGCGTGATATTCGATCCCACTGATCACATGAGAAATTATCTAATTTTCCTAAATTTAAATTCCTTTTTAATGTTTCAGTGTTATCCTGAAGGACAGCCCGAGTCCGGAGAAGGATCCGGGAAATAAAACAACCCGCTTTGTCTAATTAACAGATGAATCACCTGCAGCTTTGGGCTCTCTGCTGTGGTTTGGATTCGTTTCCACCTGTCACTACAGACGCATTAAACCCGGTCCTCGGTGCAGGACTCACCTTGCCGCAGACCTCGCAGGTGAAAACTTTGGGCTTGCTGCCGGGACAGGAGCCGTTCAACCGAGCCGCCACCGCCGCCGCGGAGCTCTTGAAGATCTTGTCGCTGAGGATCTGTTCCCGCTCCTTCATATAGTGCTGGATCTGGCTCTGAGACAGCTCCTTGAAGGCCTGCATCCCGGACACAGGGTACCGCTCCCCGGCCTGCTGCAGGCCCGGTTTGCTCTTCTCCGCCATGAAGGCTTTGTGCCGGGCGCTGAGCAGGTACGAGGCCACTGGGTGCAGATTGACCAGACCGGCCGGTGGGGGGCAGGCGCCGCTGTCCCCGCCGCAGGTCAGGGCGC